AGAGCGCAAGTCACCTTCCTTGGTTGTCCAAGAAATTGCAATGAACAGAGAAAACAGAGGAGGAGAGAAATGAGTAGAATAAATGTGAGGTCCCGGTTGTTTGCTTTGACAATGGGAGTATCTTTGTGTTTAACAAAGATTACTAGCACCAGTGCTGTGCTTACGGAAAAGAAAACTGCAACCGAGGCTAAGCCAATCCCTAAAGGTTCTTCATAAGACAAGAAACTTATCATTTTGGCAATGCATCCATCTCTGTCCTCGCTAGGGTATTGATCCTCTGGGCACTTGAAGCAGTCATTCATGTCTAGGTCAATATATGAAAGAGAGAAATAAAGAGTGGTGTCATATTTCAGTTAAGATAAAGGGGGGAGACATTTGTTGATTAAAAAGTAATTGGAAATAAATGGAAGGAAAAGCTTGAATTGAGTTACTGTCAGTTACTATCAGTAAAGGACCCTGGATGGCTAAGTCCAGTCAAAAGCAACTATGGGGTTGCAGCACTCATCTCACTTACAGGCTGAGGGAGCTGGTGTTTGTCCACAGACAACTTTCCAGATCATGAGGCCAGCATGACGAAACCTCTTCTGGCACTGTTACATAAATGTACTAGAGATCAGTGAGGCAGTGTAGGTGGGGCACTATTGCTCTCCTAGCGCACCAAAACAACAGATCACTGCCTGTAACTGAGATGAGGAGGTGAGGGGCAAAACCTGAGGAGTTTGGTCCGGTGTAGTGTGTCAGATTAGCTCCATCTCACCAGCCGCTACTGAATATATGCCACTGGAAAATAGGGTTGTGTGTCTGAACACTAGCAGCATTTCAGTCTAGTTCCACATACTACTGAATATAGTATTCAACAGCTCTCTAATATGATCCTTAGCCTGAAAATGTCTCCCACCTTTGCTATCACTTGCTGACTTGTAGATGAATGCATTAATAAACTATTGCATTGTGTCACCTACCCTTTCGGTTGGAAATCTTGCCTTCTGGGCATGGAACACAGTCATAGCAGCAAAACTTCTCGCCTTCCTTCTTTTTCTTCTGATACCCAGCATTGCAGTACTCATTACACACAGAAAGGGGACAAACCTAACCATAAACATGATTATTTTGTTTTAAGGAAAAGTGAAATTAGATCTGTTGTTGGTGCTGTTCAACAGCTGATCTACAAAGAAACAATTGCTCATATTGGTGTAACTGTACCAGGATTGAACTTTAATCTGTTTTAGTATTTTAACCTTTGTATGTTTTAAAGTGGGGTTGTATTCCGCCCCCCCCCCCGATTTTACTGTTTTATCTTTTGTAAACCACTCTTTTATAATCAAGCCGTGTATGACTTTTATGAAATGTAATAAATAAATAAAACAGTTTTAGAGAAATGGCAGTTTGCAGAACATGTTCAAACAGAATATTTTCTGATAACGGTAGACATTCTTTTTAATGGAGGAAAACTGTGGGTACCAGAGATGGGGAAAGGACCACTCAGTTGAGCTCTTCATCCAGTAAGAAGAGCCTTGCTGAAGCAATCTAAAGACCCATCTAGTCCAGTATCCTGTCCTTATGGTAGCCAACCAGATGCCTATGGGAAGCTTGAAAACTCCCAAACAGGGGTGATCAAAGAGTGCCCTACAGTCCTACTACAATCTGCCTTTTTCACTTGCACAGAGAACTTTAAATTGTTTTCAGTTGTTATGAGGAATATATAAACCTCACACTTGAATGTTACATGTGTGATGTTTATGTGTGATACTGAGTTCATTACAGTAGACCAAGTAAGAGGAACCTGTAGCCTTCCAGATGTTGCTGAATTACAGCTTTAATCAGCCATAGTCTACATCTCTGTCAGGGAAGCTGGGAGTTGAAGGATAGCAACTACTAGAGAATCAAAGATTCCCCCATCTCTGCAACAGACTAACGCTGACAGAATGCAGCCAATGCCATTTCCACTCCCAGATCACCCATTCAGAAAAGGTAGCAGCACTAACAAATATTATAGAATTCAGACCTGATTGAAACTTTCATGCCACACAATTATATCTGCATTGAGAGTAATTTCTTTTCCTTCGGGAGCCTTGGGATAAACCATTCCAATTTTCACTCTAAGGAAGGAGATGTTTGGAAACGTGATCATGTTCACAATGTCAAATCCACCTCCCATCTCCCCACGATTATTCAAGGACACCGTTTCTCCAGCTGAGTTGTTAAATGAAATGCCTTGGAGAAATGAGTGGATCTAATGGAAAAAGTAAAAAGACACACAGAGAGCTCAACTGTTTCCATGCCAAGATTTACAAACCATTCTCCCCCCCCCCAAAAAAAAAACCAGTTTCAGGGAAATTCTCATATCTAGTAGTGGTAGAAGACTGGAAAAATACAGCTTACCTTTTTCAGGCTTCACGTATATGGGGAAATAAGGCTCTCCCAAAACACAAACCATCACTCCATCCTCTTTATAGCTGAGAAGTTGTATCCAGTGTTAATCATATTCAGAGACAACTCATTGAGATTACATGACATGAGAAACTAACATTCATTAATCTTAAGGAGTCAGCTCTGTGTAGAGCTTAGCTGGACTTGAATACAACCCAGTGTACCTAATTTACCAGTGGATGATACAGTTGTTTCAATTTGCATGAATATATTCACAGCAATAGCCATTTTGTAGTTAAGACTGTACCTGCCAAGTCTGAATATCTTGAAGCCTTTTCCCCTGTGCCATCGCTCTGAGATTGGACCTGGATGAGCCCATGCTGTGCAAAGCATGTGCCACTGCATAGACTGCATTATAAACACTGTAGCTGTGGCCAGTCATCTGCATTTCAAAGACAGACTCAGGGAGATTCTCCACCTTTTCCTCCCCAGTACATATGCCATCAACATCCATTGGCACACAGGGGTTTGGCAATGAACAGTCAAAGGCGTGCTGCCAGAAGGCTCGGAAAAAACCATTATCTTGTGTCTTGCAAGACTGTATATTTCGAATATATCCCTGGAATCCCAGACATTGATTTGAGTGAATTGTGAAGGAAATACTGCCCTGGAATATTTGAAAATTACTACGTGTTATTTGGCCTGTTACTGCAAAATCAATCTGGGTTGTCATAATCCACACCTTTCCAATGTATGCGTTTTCCCTATATCCAGGATCTTCCAGAGCCACTAAGGCACTTAACCACAGGATGATCATACTTTCTCCATAGACAACAAATGTTCTGACCTTGCTATCCAAAAAAGGCAAATAAATTTCGGAGGTCATATCAATCAGTTCATCAAGGGAAAGGAAGCGACCTTGGTTGGGGATTCTTTGTGTGAAGGCTGAACAGATGCCATTCTGAGAAAGCAGTGGCTCCATAGTCTGCAAGAAATGGTCTCCACTGTCATCGCCTACAGCAAGGAGGCCAACCCATGTCCATCTAAAACTCTGAAGCAAACGGATAATCCCCATATACTGATTGACTTCATTTGGGGCCATGCGGTAAAATGAAGCAACCTGCCTTGTTCCGGTACTTTCTGGGGCAAATGACCCATAGGTAAGCTGAAAAAGAAATGCACAAATATTTTAGGGATGGGTTAGTAGAAATACTTTAGTATCTGTTAATGTATTTTCATGCAATGAGTACTGGGCGAGGTTGACAAAACCATGATTTAAGTGTGCAGGTTAATATTAGAAGTCAAGACAAGTACTCTCCTGGAGGACATAATACAATTTAACCTAGCCTTTACCTTATGATTCCTTTCCCTACCACCTGTCTTGGATACATTTGGATTTTGTTTTTTAAACACCCCAAAATATTTCTTTGTATTTGATATCCCGCTTTATCACTACCCTAAGGAGTCTCAAAGCGGCTAACAATCTCCTTTCCCTTCCTCCCCCATAACAAACACTCTGTGAGGTGAGTGGGGCTGAGAGACTTCAGAGAAGTGTGACTGGTCCAAGGTCACCCAGCAGCTGCATGTGGAGGAGTCCACCGCTCTTAACCACTACACCACACTGGCTCTCTTAATAAATCAATCATAACTACCTGTCTTTCTGAACTGCAACACTACTGTCTTAATGCAAATCCACCTAGTTCACACTTGCTAATGGTTTGTGAACATCCCCATTCATCTACACACAATTCTTACCTGTGGAATCTTATAGAGGTTTAAGATGTTTGCCATATGGAAAGAGATATCAGAGCTCAGGCCCCCAATGACAGCTATAAGATTTTTCGGGAAATGACATTCATAGTTTGGGATAAATTTATGAACTTTGAAGAGCAGGTCCAGAGTGGTTCGATAGGTCATCCTTGCATCGTAGTAGCTGTCACGGATGTGGAAACCCAGTGTGATGTTTGGCAAGATCTTCATGTTTCTGTTGATCTCATTTACAGCAAATGCCAAGGCCAGGACATGCTGGTAGAACTTTGTCACTACACTGCAGAGAGTTACATGATATTTCCATGGAGATTACAATACTGGTCCATTAAGGTTTTAAAGTAATGCAAACTATTTTTTTTTAAATCAACTCATTAGATTACATCATTGTTATAATGTTAAAAAGCAAATCACCACAGATAGGAACTGCCAAGAAGCAGAAAGTGTGATCAGTGAGTAAGAGAGGAGAATGAACCACAAAATTGTATCAGTGGAGAGAGTGAAGCAGAAAAGAACGTCCATTTGTACCAAAAGAAAATGGGGCAATGGGAAAAAAGAAGACATCAATTAAAGTGTCACATATAGGGCCCAATAAGTAGTCTATTGAAATCTAAATCCATGCCTTTATTTGACTTGTCGATTTGCCCAGTTTTGTCTGCTTGTATGTTTATTACTTATTCTGATCTTCTATTAGATATAAAATATATACAATGTGTAACATTTCTGGCAAAAAAAATCACAAAGCAGTTTACAGAAATGACAATATAAAATGCAGTAAATAAAATGTAATACAAAATACTGAAAATAAAGATAAAAATGAAATGAATGTAGTTAGTGATTGAACAGGATAAAACTCTAACGTAAAGGGGCCTGGGTAAATAATTGGTTTATTGTAGCCTTATTTTTATTTCTGTTAATATATCAAGTCATTTGTTCATGTCATTTTAGGTATTTGATTTTGGATATAAATTCCTTTTTCATAATGATAAAAAGAACTATGGTCATTCATAGTATTTGTCCTAATATTAGCTAGTGTCTTTCACTGTCTAAGTTTCACTGACTAGTCTATTTTGTTGCAAAAGTGGTACTCCATTAATATTGCCTTTTTTATTGGCAAGAATAATTTCCACCAACTTTTCTCTACGCCTACTGGCAAATCTGCCGGGAAAATCTGAAGCCTCCCATATTAAATATCTTTTGGATGACAGGTCTAATGATATTACTCTGGCCATGACAAAGTTTCAGAAGTCAAAAGAAACAAAGTTCATCAAGCTCGAGACAAAACAAAATGACCACCTTGGTTTCTCTCTCTTTGTGGTTGGCCTTTTTCACTGTATTTTGTTCTGAAATTGTTTTATGGGTCTTTGGACCCCAATAAAGATTTATTATTATTATTATAGGATCATGAGAGGAGGGAGTCTAGGTATGCTTCAAATGAGTTAAAGAGTGTAAGACTCATAGACCTCAGTTTGCATACAATCTCTGAACATTCTTGTATTAAAAATGCTCCCCAGCTCACATGGCATAGAAAGAAAAGAGAAGAATAAGTATTCCTTACATTGGAGTATCCAAGCCCAGCTCCTGAGATGGGTGATTGTGGAAGGAAAGTTGGGGGAAAAGGTACATGATCTGAGAAGCAACTCCACCAATGAGGAGGTTCCCAGGCTGATACCACTCATGAGGAAGAGATATGGGATCATTTACAGGGCACTTGGTAGCTTCTGCTTTGCACACCATGTGTGGCAACTGAAGCAGCAGCACCACCACCACCACCACAAACAACATCTGGTGGCAGAGCTTTTCGATAGATGCAGAGGTTGCTGTACTCAGCCGGTGGCCTGTCATTGCCATCAACCTAAATGAAACAAGCTAAACTGGAAAACAGCCAACTCTGCTAATAGGCATGCTAAAGAGAAGTGTATTAGCCTAAACTCAAACCTTCTTAAAGAACATGTCTTGTATGACAACTAAGGTACACTTTTTGAAGACCCTCCAATGAAATGAACAGGGCCCTGCCTGTCTGATTATTGCCCCTGGTCCCATCTCTGAATGGCAGAAGTCAATGGATTTTAACCAGTTTCTCTTTTGCTTGTGGCGTGTTTTTCTCCACCTTCTGGAAAGCTGTTGGAGCTCTGATGAGAAGAAGCAATAACAATGATTCAGATAATTGCAGGGGAGATAATTATTCCTGATGTGGCGTTAAGCAAATGATATTTCCCCTATTTTTCTGCTTAGTAGGACATAACGCTGCATTTTGGTTCTGATGGCAACAATGAGCAAATAACATTAAGAGCCCCTGCACCCAGGAGATTTTGAATTTCAGTATCCATCAGCCCCTAGTCAACATAGAATCATAGAATCATAGAATCATAGAGTTGGAAGAGACCACAAGGGCCATCGAGTCCAACCCCCTGCCAAGCAGGAAACACCATCAGAGCACTCCTGACATATGGTTGTCAAGCCTCTGCTTAAAGACCTCCAAAGAAGGAGACTCCACCACACTCCTTGGCAGCAAATTCCACTGTCGAACAGCTCTTACTGTCAGGAAGTTCTTCCTAATGTTTAGGTGGAATCTTCTTTCTTGTAGTTTGGATCCATTGCTCCGTGTCCGCTTCTCTGGAGCAGCAGAAAACAGCCTTTCTCCCTCCTCTATGTGACATCCTTTTATATATTTGAACATGGCTATCATATCACCCCTTAACCTCCTCTTCTCCAGGCTAAACATGCCCAGCTCCCTTAGCCATTCCTCATAAGGCATCGTTTCCAGGCCTTTGACCATTTTGGTTGCCCTCCTCTGGACACGTTCCAGTTTGTCAGTGTCCTTCTTGAACTGTGGTGCCCAGAACTGGACACAGTACTCCAGGTGAGGTCTGACCAGAGCAGAATACAGTGGCACTATTACTTCCCTTGATCTAGATGCTATACTCCTATTGGTCAATGATGAAGGAAGATGGGAGTTGTAATTCATCAACATCAGAAAGGTGCCTCATTCCCTCTTTATTCTGAAGCTAGGAAAGGAGATGAACTCTATGACTTACAATATAATTCTACAATTGTCCTCTCACCATCATTGATAAGATAGGTGCCTAAGGGGAACTCATTGTTGGGATCCCCACCAACATGGCTCAGGAAGTCAATTATGGATTTACACATGGCTCATTTGTGTTGATGTTATATATGGATATTATGTGTATTAGGATTTCTCTTGCTTGAGTATGCATAGAATCTGATCCCTCCCACTGAGTAGTTCCTGCCTAGAATACTGATGTGAATTTTCCATTTGGGAGAACACTTTTCACTTATGTTCCTCAGTGACAGTTCTTTTAAGAGCAGAAGGATTGCCATGTATGAATTCTCCACCCTCTACCATGTTCAAACATTTTTATACATGAAGAGTAGTGAGTGTCACTAAGGCTCATGTTGTGAAAATATCATGCTGTCAGTCAGGGCCAGTGTGGTATGGTCAGCACCAGCCCTACCACTGGGCAGAGTTAGGCCACCTCAGGAAACAGATGCGCCAAGTACTTAGGTGTCTGGTGGACAAACTTGTGCAATGGAATACACTGTCTTGTAACAGGCATTGAAGTGGAGAATAGGACTAGCAAAGGCTATTAGCTACAATAGCTCTGTTCTCCCTCCAATGTCAGAGCACTATGCCTCTGATTACCACTTGATAAGAAACACAAGTAGGGAGAGAGCTGTATTGCTCTTTTCCTTCTTAAAGGCTTCCCATAAGCATCTGGTTGGCCACTGTGGAAACAAGTTGAGTTGGATGTCGAGATAGCATGGTTTTGAGATGGACATAGGGGGTTCTCTCTTTTTTTAAGGGAGTATCTTTTTTGGAGCATTTTATTTGTTTCAACCAAGGGCTTTCAGATCTATGAGTGCTTTCAGAGTGGCTAGGGCAACCCAGACAGATGGGTGGGGTACATTTTATTTTATTTTATTATTTTTATTTTTAATAATAATAATAATTATACCCCACCCATCTGGTTGGGTTTCCCCAGCCACTCTTATTATATTATATCATTATCATCATTTTATCATCATCAAAAGACTTACAAAACTACACACTACAAGCATATTCTTGTTTTGTTTTATTTTTGGTTATTGATGCCACTTCCTATGGTATCAGCAGTATTCTCAGGATCAGTAGCGTTCACATTCATTTCTGGAATCCAGTGCTGATTTCTGTATCCTTGCTATGCAGATGGCCACAAATTGAGGAATTGCTTCCTCTTTCTTTCTGCCAACACTCTGATTTGACTTCATGATGCCACCAGAATGAAGAGAAGAGAAAGAAGCAATTCTTTGTACCATTACTTAGGTGTCTGAATAAAGAAATTTAGGTCACCAGAAAGAAAAAGTGGGTAGATGCTTGGCCACTGTTCACATGCCCAACTTTGCGGTTTCTGAAAAGTGGTGATGTGATTTGGAGGGCTCACACTATATCTACATATAATAGCATTAGAAACTAGAAATAAGTAGGAACTGTTACTGTACATGTGAAGCAGGGGGTAAATGGTTGTTGCATCTTCGTATAGCCATTTAAAAACCGAGGTAAGGTGATGGAGTAGTGTAGGCATAGGCAAACTCTGGCTCTCCAGATGTTTGGGACTATAATTCCCATCATCCCTAGCTAACAGGACCAGTGGTCAGTGATGATGGGAATTGTAGTCCCAAACATCTGGAGGGCTGGAGTTTGCCTATGCCTGGACTAGTGGATTTCTCTATAATCACTGAGATCAAAGAACTTGGGCTTACTCCAGACCTGAAAAATTCCGTCTGAATCTATTCAAATATAAAAGAATAAGCATCTCCTGGGAAAGAGAAATAAACCTCATCTCAATTCTCTGTTACCTGGTTTTCACAAGGGGGCAGCAGAGATGTGCTGAGAAATAGGAGTTTTGTGGTTTCAGCTTGGAGGCTGGTCACTTTCTCATCAGTTTCCTTTGAAACCAGCATCTATCCTTTCCATTCCCAAGAGACTCTCCCCCAGTTGCTGTTGCTGTTATGTGGTTTGCCTGTTTGTAGAATGAATAGCTGCATTATGCTGGGTCTGCCTTGGTGGGGGGAAAATTGTCTGTGTGTGTGTGTGTTTGTCATAGGCGCCGACTCCATGGGGCTTGAGGGGGCCCGAGCCCCCTCAAAAATTCGTTTGGGTGGGCTCCGCCCCCCCCAATAATCTCCGGCGCCCCTCCAGCAGAGCGCCATCGCCGCCCCTCCCCCAGCCCAAAATGCACAGGGAGGGGCGGGCTGCATGCCTCCTGCCCTCCCTCCCGAGCAAAAGCTCCACCCAATTTCCTTTGGAGCTGATTAATAGGCGCAGCACGCTCTCCCCTATTCGCTCACGAGGCGGCGGCGCCACTTTATTTGCATATTCATGAGCTTATTTATTATTCATGAGCTTTCCCGGGCCCCCCCAATATTTTTTATAAGTCCGCGTCCCTGGTGTTTGTACAAAAATAAAAAATAAATGTCGTCAACAGTGAAGGACAGTATCTAGCAAAAAGCTTAGGAAGGGTTTAATCCACTTGTGGCCCTCCACATATTCACCTCCACAGGCATATGCTTCATGAAATCTGTTATTCTTTATGATGCCTCTATTTCCTTTTTTTCTTCTTCAAATAAATTTTTATTGTTTTCAACATGTAATTCTTTTCCCAACAATCCTTATTATCGCTCCAGAGAAGCGAACACGGAGCAATGGATCCAAACTACAAGAGAGAAGATTCCACCTAAACATTAGGAAGAACTTCCTGACAGTAAGAGCTGTTCGACAGTGGAATTTGCTGCCAAGGAGTGTGGTGGAGTCTCCTTCTTTGGAGGTCTTTAAGCAGAGGCTTGACAACCATATGTCAGGAGTGCTCTGATGGTGTTTCCTGCTTGGCAGGGGGTTGGACTCGATGGCCCTTGTGGTCTCTTCCAACTCTATGATTCTATGATCACATTATAATCCCTTTGACTCTGCCGAATCCTGACTTCCCTCCCTCCCGAGCGCTGGTATATACATCACATATTATTTGCGTATATTATTGTCATAACTCTACTGTTTTACATTGGAGGTCTTATTCCAGTCCTGCTAGTGTGTTAATATTTTTGTTGCTCTCCTTTCTATATTTAATAAATTTATTCCAATTGTTATTGTATCTCTGGTCCTCTTGGTCCCAGATCCTTCCTGTCAATTTGGCAAGTTCTGCAAAATCTATCATCTTCACCTGCCACTCCTGGATGGTTGGTAAATCTTGTGTTTTCCATCTTTGGGCCAGTAGAGTTCTTGCGGCGGCTGTGGCATACATGAACAAGTCCTGATCTTTTATTTTAATTTCTTTTCCCACCAAACCTAGCAAAAATGCCTCTGGTCTTTTAGGAAAAGTATACTTAAATATCTTTAATATATATGATGCCTCTATTTCCAAGCTCTCTGCTGGGAAAGATTCAGTTCGAGTTATCAAAAAATAGCCCACCTGATGCCTAGTAGTCTCACTCTCATTCTGAGAAACTTGAATTGAAATCCTCATGAGTGGGGCACGAGGAAGCTTGATTAAAATATTGGGGGCCCAGGATAAGCCCCACCCTGCATGCACATGACATGGTGCATGCATACCATTTGAATGGCAATGCCCATCAACTTTGGGGTTGCCTGGCCTTCTCAAATATTTTGTTGGGGGAGCCAAAGACCAATTGGCCACTAGGAGTTGGCTCCTATGGAGGAGCTTCCTATGGTGAGCATTTTACTGATCTACAAACCACAAAATAAATCCACATGAAAAGCAAGAGGAGGAATATGAGGTTCTGCTAGACTCAAGCTGACAAACAGCTTTAAATAAAAAGACACGTCTTGA